AAAATCCATGCCTGTCCCTTGTGTCCCCCCAGGCCATGCCAAGGACGCCCTGAGCCTGGCGCAGATGCAGGAGCAGACCCTGCAGCTGGAGCAGCAAACCAAACTCAAGGTGGGTTGGGATTCCTCAGGCTCTGCAGGGACAAATTCAAACCTTTGTGATGAATTTGTCTTTCTGTTCAGCTTCAGCAAATTGTGGTTATTTGCCTTTAGGAGGAAAAAAAAGAGTAATTCTGGGAGGTGATCTCAGCTAATTTGGGTTATTCTGACATGATTTTTGTGGCTTTGGATATCCCTGCTGGTTTTGGGGAGTGACCAGGGGTTTCTGGAGCTGTAACTGTGAGGGACAGAGTTCTGTTTCTCTTGTAAAGGAATTTAGGGATTGTTTGGGTGTTGCTTGATCTCTTGGGTGTTTTTTTTTTAATTGTGTTTAATCCTGAAATGGCTGAATATGATATTTCTTATCATTTCTTATCATTTTCTTATCTTTTTTCTTATCATATATCATTTCTTATCATCTGAATTCTTATCAGAATTCAGAATTTAATATTTTGTCACATTTTATTGTGATACTTTATTATTATATTATATTACAATACTTTATTATAATATATTATAATATCTTATTATAATATTTTAATATATTCCTTTCACTTCATTATAATACTTTGCTTCATCATCATATTTTATAATAATATTTATGATAGCATATAATATAATTAGATTTATAATATACTAAAATATAATATTTAGTAACATTTTAGTATCATATTTTAGTATGTATATTATAATACTATATATTATACTATATTTAGTATATATAGTATAATACTATATTATAGTATATATAGTATAATACTATAATATTATACTATATTTTAGTATCATATTATAGCATCATATTATAGTGTCATCTTTTATTATTACATTATAGTATCATATTTTATTATCATAATTTATAACCATATTTTATTACCATAATTTATTATAATATATATTATATATATTTATTTTATTTATATATATATATTTTTAAATTATTTATATTTACTATCATATTTTAACTTTCTTATATCAGCGGTCATCTATTTTATTATTATATTATAGTGTCATATTTTATTATCATAATTTATGACCCTATTTTATCACCATAATTTATTATAATATATATTATATATATTATATTTATTTATTTTATTTATATATTTTTAATTATTTATATTTACTATCATATTTTAACTTTCTTATGTCAGCGGTCATCTATTTTATTATTACATTATAGTATCACATTTTATTATCATAATTTATGACCCTATTTTATTACCATAATTTATTATAATATATATATATTTATTTTATTTATATATATATTTTAAAATTATTTATATTTACTATCATATTTTAACTTTTTTATGTCAGCGGTCATCTATTTTATTATTACATTATAGTATCACATTTTATTATCATAATTTATGACCATATTTTATTACCATAGTTTATTATAATATATATTTTATATATATTATATTTATTTATTTTATTTATATATTTTTATTATTTATATTTACTATCATATTTTATTATCATAATTTATGACCATATTTTATTATCATAATTTATGATAATATATATTATATATATATTATATTTATTTATTTTGTTTATATATTTTTAATTATTTATATTTACTATCATATTTTAACTTTCTTATGTCAGTGGTCATCTTTTAAGGGTATCACTCTGAATACAGAGGGATTTATTGGAATGTGATTGTCAGTAGCATTTCTGTATAGATGATCTGTGAATTTCTGGATATTAAATTTGTGTGAATTTCTGGTGATGAAATTTCTGTGAATTTCTGGAGATTAAATTTCTGTGAATTTCTGGTGATGAAATTTCTGTGAATTTCTGGAGATTAAATTTCTGTGAATTTCTGGAGATGAAATTTCTGTGAATTTCTGATGATTGAATTCTGCTTCTGCCCCAGGAGTACGAGGCTGCCATAGAGCAGCTGAAGAATGAACAGATCCGGGTGCAGGCAGAGGAGAGAAGGAAAACTCTCAATGAAGAAACCAAACAGCACCAAGCAGTAAGGGAATGAGGGGGAAAAGGCAATGATGCATTCATTATCCCTTTCATTAATTATCCCTTTATTAATTATCCCTTTTTGGGGAGAGGGGCTCTGGGGGTGCTCACAGGCTGAGCCCCCATTGTGTCCTGGATTTGTGATGTTGAGCTGGAATTTGAATCCTCTGGGACTTTTTTTCCCAAGTTCTTGAACATCCAGAGGAATTGGATGCTCAAGAATTTGGGAACAAAAGTCCAAGAGTTAATTGTCCAATTAACAGTTTCTCTCTAGCAGCTTGGACTAAAGTCTAAGGGTTAATTGTCCAATTGATTTTCTCTCTAGCAGTTTCTCTCATTTTGTGTTTTTGGGGGTTTTCCTAAGGGGCTTTTCAGGGAAATGTTGAGAAATACTGATTTATCAACTGTTTATGTTAGCCTGGACAGTGAAATGGCTCTGAAGTGATTTGGATTTCAGTCTTAAGTATTTTATTTCTTCTGAATTAAACAGGAAAAAATATCTTGAGGAGAAGTGATGCAAATCTGAGTTGTTGTGAGCAGTGTTGGTTTGTTTTAGCTTGAGTGCCTGACGTGGCACTCAATAACCCTGAAACAGGGAAAACAAAGGCTGGCCTAAATGTTAAAAGTTAAATTGTGGGGATTTCTTGCTCTGAGAGCACAGGAGAGGAGGGAATTGATTCATTCTAATGGAATTTCCAGTTTGCTAGAGCTGTTCATTTGGCACGTGGTGCTTTTACCCTGGCACAGTTTGGACTTTGAGCAGGGCTGGCCCAGGGAGCAGCTGCACTCTCAGGGCTTGGTTCTTCACCTCCTGCTGCTCACAGGGCACCCCTGGAGCTCACAGCAAACTCAAAGATTCTTGGTAAACAACCAAAATCAACGTGGTTTATTCCAAGCTGTTGAGGAGATCATTCCCAAGCTGTTGTGCTGTGTTTGGAATAGGGAATGGTGTCACCCCCTGACCTGTGGATCCTCAGCCCCCTTCCAGTTCATGGAGATGATTTGGGTTTGTTTGGAGCTGCAGTGATTGATAAGAGCAATTAATGAGGAATGAGTAAATCATCATCAGAACCATCAGCACATCCTGCCAGTTCTATTGCTTGCAGTCTCCAGTCCTGATAATGTGGTTTAGAACATGAAAACTTTATTTTTCCCACTGAAATCTCCTTTTGTGGGCCAAGAAACCTTTGCTCTTTATTTTGGCATCTGTGATACCATCAAATGAAGTCAGACTGTAGAGATTTCTCAGCACAGAGAAGTTCTTGGTGTATCTGAGGATATTTTGCCCTGTTCACATTCAAATCCAGGATAACTTTTTATTTGTGTGGATTTCCCCATTTTATTTGGTTTTTTTTTTTTACATCCTGAACCTCATTTCCCTGAGGAGCAGGCAAAGAAACCTTTGCTTTTTATTTTGGCATCTGTGATGCCATAAAATAAAGTCACACTGTAAAGATTCCTCAGCACATAGAAATTTTTGCTGCTGACTGACGATACTCACATTCAAATCCAGGATAACTTTTTATTTGTGTGGATTTGCCCATTTTATTTGCTTTTTAACATCCTGAACCTCATTTCCCTGAGGAGCAGGCAAAGAAACCTTTGCTCTTTTTTTTGGCATCTGTGATACCATCAAATGAAGTCAGACTGTAGAGATTTCTCAGCACAGAGAAGTTCTTGGTGCTGACTGATGATATTCACATTCAAATCCAGGATAACTTTTTATTTGTGTGGATTTCCCTATTTTATTTGCTTTTTTACATCCTGAACCTCATATCCCTGAGGAGCAGGCAAAGAAACCTTTGCTTTTTATTTTGGCATCTGTGATGCCATAAAATGAAGTCAGATTGTAGAGATTCCTCAGCACAGAGAAGTTCTTGCTGCTGACTGACGATACTCACATTCAAATCCAGGATAACTTTTTATTTGTGTGGATTTCCCTATTTTATTTGCTTTTTTACATCCTGAACCTCATATCCCTGAGGAGCAGGCAAAGAAACCTTTGCTTTTTATTTTGGCATCTGTGATGCCATAAAATGAAGTCAGATTGTAGAGATTCCTCAGCACAGAGAAGTTCTTGCTGCTGACTGACGATACTCACATTCAAATCCAGGATAACTTTTTATTTGTGTGGATTTCCCCATTTTATTTGCTTTTTTCCCTCTGAACCTCGTTTCCCTGAGGAGGTTTTTAACTGCCTAATCTGTATATTTTATTTTGTTTTTTGAAGAGAGCCCAGTACCAGGACAAGCTGGCCCGGCAGCGCTATGATGAGCAGATGAGACAGCAGGTAGGGTAGGGTAGGGAAGGGTGGGGGTCCTGTCCTGCTCTAATCCAGCTGGGAATGGGCTGGGAGCCCCCTGAAATCCCAGAGATGCTCTGCAGCTGTGCCCTGTCCTGCTGGGCACTGCTTATCTCTGTTATCNCACCACCTACGAGGTGGCGCTGACCCCCGAGTCCAACGTGCACTACTTCCCCCCGCAGAGAACCAGGGTCACCACCCTGCCAGGTAAACGGGCATGGCTGGGACCAGGGGCACCTCCCTGCCAGGTAAAACGGGCATGGGTGGGACCAGGGGCACCAGGGGCACCACGCTGCCAGGTAAACGGGCATGGATGGGACCAGGGGCATCAACCTGCCAGGTAAATGGGCATGGCTGGGACCAGGGGCACCAGGGGCACCACGCTGCCAGGTAAGATGGCATGGATGAGACAAGGGGCACCACCCTGCCAGGTAAATGGACTTGGATGGGGGCATCAGGGTCACCACCCTGCCAGGTAAATGGGCATGGATGGGACCGACCTTGGGGCACCACCCTGCCAGGTAAGATGGCATGGATGGGACCAGGGGCACCAGGGGCACCACGCTGCCAGGTAAATGGGCTTGGGCCAAGGGCACCACCCTGCCAGGTAAATGGGCTTGGATGAGACAAGGGGCACCAACCTGCCAGGTAAGATGGCATGGATGGGAGCAGGGGCACCAACCTGCCAGGTAAATGGGCTTGGGACCAGGGGCACCACTGTGCCAGGTAAAATGGCATGGCATACACCTGGGGGCACCAATTCTACTGGGTTGATTTCACTTCCTTGCTGCGTTGATTTAAATTTGCTGGCTTGATTTGAATTCCACTGGGTTGATTTGAATTCCTTGCTGGGCTGATTTTAGTTCCACTGGGTTGATTTTAATTTCAATGGGTTGATTCGAATTATTTGCTGGGTTGATTTTACTTCCTTGCTGGGTTGATTTGAAATCCTTGCTGGATTGATTTTCATTCCACAGGCTTGATTTGAATTCCTTGCTGGGCTGATTTTAATTCCTTGCTGCATTGATTTCAATTCCACTGGGCTGATTTTAATTTCAATGGGTTGATTTGAATTATTTGCTGGGTTGATTTCAGTTCCCCTGGGTTGATTTCAATTCCTTGTTGGATTGATTTTCATTCCACTGGCTTGATTTTAATTCCTTGCTGGATTGATTTTCATTCTACTGGGTTGATTTTAATTCCTTGTTGGATTGACTTTCATTCCACTGGGTTGATTTTAATTCCTTGCTGCATTGATTTTCATTCCACTGGCTTGATTTGAATCCCCCACCCCTGAACCCCAATATGACGCACACCCATAATTCTCATTAAATCCTCACCCACACCTCTCTCCACCTTTCCCAGAGGAGATCAGCCCGGTTCAGGTTCTCATCTCGGACTGTGGGCCCCGCAGCCTGCAGGTGAGCTGGGCTCCCGTCCTGGACACCGTGGCCTCCTACCAGGTGCTNTTTTTTCCTGGTTCCATTTCTCCCTCCACAATGTCTGTCCTGTTCCACGGCATTGCTAAATCAGCATTTCTTATCTCCAGCTTTGCACACTGCGTGCATCTGTGTGAGCCTTCTGTTTGAGAACTCCCTGTAAATCCATTTCTCACCACTGTGGGCATTTATTTCTTTATTTTCTGTGCTTTATTCCCTTCTTTATATGCTGAAACTTCCAGGGCTCTGGCAACAAGGGGCAGAGCTGTTTGCTGCGGGCTTCCCCTTTGATCTGCCCCCTCCATTCACATTTTCCCTGCTCCCAGCTCACTAATTTCCATTCCCTGAGCTTCTGGCAGGGTTTTTGGCAGCGCTGAGCCCTTTCCTGTGCTCCCTGCCCCTTGGTGGATTGGTCCCTGAGGTTTGTGGGGCTCCCAGGAGGGTGCAGGGCCCCGGGATTTGGGATGGGATCACTGGGATGGGCAGGGCACGGAGCAGGGAAATGTTCCTGCCAGGGAACAGCTCAGAGGAAAATCTGAGCCTGTTTTATTTGGTGCAGGAAAGCTGGCAGGGCTCAGAGCAGCTGAGCTAAAGGATGAGTCTGGGAAGGCAGAGCAGCCCCAAATTTGCAGCTTTGGGAGAGGATTTTGTGCCTCCCTTCACCTCCGTGCGATGGGGAGCCAGTGAGAGCTCTGGGAGTGTCTGAGCATGAGCTGGAAGTGCTTTTATAAGGATTTAGGGGCTTTTCAAAGCTCTTAAAAATAATTTAAAAACAGATAAGATCTCCGTGTCGCTTCCCTGGAGCTAGAAACAAAGTCCTGTGTGTTTGTGCCTCTCTGGAAGAGCAGAGAACAGCGGAATTGTGCCCAAAATGGGAGCGTCAGAAGGGCCAGGGAGCAGAGGGAGCTGCCCAGCACCACCAGAGGGATTTGTGGTCTGGGATTTGTGCTCTGGAGCTCCAAGGTAGCACAAAAAAAAGGCTCAAAAAGGAGCTGTCCCCATCCCTGGGTGTGTGTGACAAAGCCTGGATGTGGCACTGGGGGCCAGGGCTGAGTTGAGGGGCTGGGGCTGGGTTGGACTCAATGGTCTTTAAGGTCTCTTCCAACCTGGGGATTCTGAGAATTTGGGAGAATTTTGGGAATTCCCAGGAACTGGGGAGGTGCTGGAGTCACCGTCCCTGGGTGTGGCACTGGGTGCCAGGGTTGAGCTGAGCTGTTGGGGCTGGGTTGGACTTGATCTTAAAAGCCTCTTCCAACCAGAGATTCTGAGAACTCTGTGGTTCTGAGAATTCTTTGGATTCTGAGAATCCTGTGAATCATGTGAATTCTGTGGTGTTTTGGATTCTGTGGTTTTGTGGATTCTGAGAATTCTGTGATT